GAGGGCCGGCCTCTGTGCGTGGGGACACGCGGCTCTCCTTGCTCTGCCAGAAAACCCCTGAGCCCAGCCCTGTGGAAAGGAGGACCTCATGCTCCGGAGACAGAGTGGAGAAAAGGAGGTGCTAGAGGCAAGAACTGCAGTTAACACACAGACCTTAGGGAGAGATTCTGTGAATGAAGGAACGGAAGCCTGCCTGCTACTCAGTGGGGGAGGGGAGGAGCAGGTGGCCTGGGCCTCACCTTCATCTCAGGGTCCCATCCACGGAGGCTCTGAGGCAGGAAGGCTGCAGCGTACCCTAGAGCCTAGAGTTACTCCGGAGCATTGCAACAGCGGAAGAATCACGCAGCAAACAGCGTGTGCTCACCTGTCACATTCCACAGGGAGTAGACTGGCTTATTGTGGTTCTGTCTGCGAGTGTTTCCCTCAGGCCACCCACTAGCCCACATGAGTTTGTGTTACATTTTAGAATAAGCTGCAAATATCTTCCCATGGATGCTTTGGTAGGCACTTTACTAACTCAAGGTTAAGATGTATTTTATTCATAAACACTATTAAATTTTTTTTTCCTGCTTGCTAAGTGGCACATGCCTATAATCCAGGCATCCTGGAAAGCTGAGGCACGGGGATCAAAAAGTTCAAACTCAACCTGGAAATTTAGCAACTTAGGGAGACCTTGTCTCAAAATTGAAAAAAAAAAAAAATGGGCTAAGGATGTAGCTCAATGTGAAGGCCATGGGTTCACTTCCCAGCATTCACAAAGTAAAATGGTGAAGTAAAGTAAAATAATCTTCCAGAGGCACAACTGTAATCCCAGCACTCAGGAGGCTGAGGCAGGAAGATTGAGAGTTTGAGGCAGCCTAGGCTCTATAGCAAGTCCAAATCTCAAAAAGGGGGGGCGGATTTTCTGCTGGTAACAGTCCAGGATAGTAGATAAGGGCCAGAATCTGTCCATAACTTTAGGTTTAGGTTAAGCCCCTCATCCCAATAGACCCAGAACCCAGGCCCGGTGTGTAAGTGAGACTACCCAGGGCCACTAGATCCTGGATAGACCCAGAGCGCAGGCCCCACAAGTGAATGAGATAACCTGGGGCCCGTGGATCCTGAATAGACCCAGAGTGCAGGCCCAGTATGGAACCCTTCAGCAGAACTCCCTGCAAAAAGGCTAGAAGCAAGGCCCACCTAGCTGATTCAGGAGCAGAACATCTTGCCAGAGAGACACAAAGGGTTCAACTCCAACGGCTGCAGCAGGAAGAAGTGGAGCACAACAGCCAGACCCCAGCCAGATCTAAGCAACATCCACCTGGAGGAATCTGAGCTTCGTAGATCTGGACTAAGATAAGATCCAGACTGAGCTTCATAGATCTGGTGGTAAGGTAGTAACTATCTAAGCTCTAAACCAAAGGTCAGAAGACAGTGGTATACAAAATGACAAAGAGAAGGAACAAAATGCAGTCGCAGGCCCCGAGTCCACCCAGTACAACTGCAGAAGACACTAGCATAGAGGAAAATGGAAATCGTACACCTGATATCTCTGAAATAATAGCGTTGGAAGTAAAGAAACAACTTCACAAAGGTATAGGAGAAATCAGATCAGAAATAATTTCTGAACTAAAAAATGTAGTGATAACTATAATCAAAGAAGTACTAAGTGCTTCAAAAGAATACACTGTTAAAAAAAATAGAGCAGGATATAAAAATGATGGAACCCCTGAATGAGCAATATAGGAAAGAAATAGAATGCATGAAGCAGATTCAAAGTGATAGACAGGAAATTAAAACCTCAATCACAAGCTGGCAAAACCGTTTGAGTGAAAGTGAAAATAGACTTTCTGACCTTAAAGACACCATTGCAGCTAGTGAAAAAGTAAGAAAAGATCTCTTTAAAACAACTAGTATGCAGGAAAAAAATAATTCAACATCTGCAAGAGGATGCAAAGATGAACAATGTGAGACTAATAGGCATCAATGAGAAGGAAGGAGTCAATATAAATGATATAAAGAGAATACAGTCAACATATCAATACTTGATGAAAAATACCTGTTCCATGTTATGCCTAAGATGTTTGATATTCAGACAGATAGTGAGGTTTAAGCTTAACAACCTAAGTTGTATGATAATAACAATAAGATTGTCTTCTGGATGGTTAACAACCTAAGTTTGCAGACAAAATTAGAGAAAAAGGAGGGCTGCAAGGAAAGCCAACTTTTTGGCCCTAGCCTTCCAAGGTCAATTAAGACTTAGGACATATGACAACTTGTACTGTTACATCATGTAACTCGGTAGTGTCCCAAATTTTCTGA